CCAATGCTGTGGCTAGAACCTGGGAGTTCTGTGCACAGTTTGTTTTTTCTTTTTGTTTTGTTTTGTTTTTTACAAAAGTTCCACTTTGGTTTTTTTTTTTAATTAATTAATTAATTAATTAATTTGTGTGTGTGTGTGTGTGTGTGTGTGTGGCCAGCTCAGCCCACCAGGGGGCAGGGGCTGGCTGGCATGTGGTGCTGGGGGATTGAACCGCAGTCCTTGTGCTTTGCTAAGCTTGTTGTAAGTAGGTGCTTTAGACCACTGAGCCATCTCACCAGCCCCGTTCTGTGCATGTTAAATGCTGGCTCTACTACCAAGCTATACCCCTAGCCTACGATGGTTAATTTTTTTTTCCAGAAACAGGGATTGAACTCAGGCCCTTGCACTTGCAGGGAAGCACTTATTCTACTGAGCCATCTCCCCGGCCCTCCATGGTTAAGTTTTATATTTCACAGGTTTATTTTTGGGTTTTTTTTTTTTGTTGTTGTTGTTGTTGTGGTTGTTTTGAAATAAGAGTTTTGCCAAGGCCACACTGGCTTTATACTCACTATATAGCCCAGGCTAGCCTCATATGGTGATCTTCAAGCCTCAGCCTTCAGAGCACTGGGGTTACAGGCTGGGATGCGCAGCCACCATGTCCCACTGTAGAAGATTTCTTTTAAGGGCACAGGAGATACTGGGGAGTGAACAGAGGGCTTTTGCATTGATCTACAGTCTCACAATTTTCTTTTCCTCTGAGGCAAGGTCTCAATAAATTGCCCCCCCCATGGGTTCTAATTTTGTATCCCCCTGCCTCAGACTCCCAGAGTGCTGGGATTACAGGTCAGCACCACTACACCCAGTACATATTTTACAATTTTTAAAAAAACAATTGTGAAAGGTATTGTTCTCAACTGTGATCACTGACCTAAGAGGAGGAGAAGTGGTAGCTGCCCTCAAGGGTTGGAGATGAAGTCCAGAAGCGTGAGCTGGCTTAACTTTCCTCCCCAGGCCAGAGCCTGTTTGAGCTGGTTTTCTTACCAGTCATGAGCATACAGAGGAACAATAGTGACTCTCCAGCCTCTGGGACTGAGGTAAATTTCCCCCCCTTGCCGAGGTCCGAGGCCTTCAGCTCACAAATATTCATGTGTGTATAGCATAGCTCTTCAGCGAGTCCATGTGTTGAGGGCAAGGCAACCCTTTAATGTGCCAGGGTGGGACATCATTTCGGCCTCCCCTTTCCTATTCCCAGCTCCAGTCCCAGAGACACCAACCTTGGCTCCCCAGTTTACCAGCCTGCCATGCAGCCAGCTGGTAACTCCAATACTTTTGCCCCATGGGAGTTTCCTGTCATTTGTGGCCACATTGCAGAAGGTAGTCCTTTTCACAGCATGCCTGGACATGGGGAATCAAAAAAGCATCAGACAGAAGCTGAGGATGAAGACTATACTTCATTGTCACTTTCTTGGAGGGAGAGCCCTGGAAGACCATGGGAAAAGATGATTCCTCTAAAGCCATGTGACTTTATTATTATTGATTTTGTTATTATTTTTGGGTTTTTTTGGGGTGGAACCGGGGATTGAACTCAGGCCTTTGTGCTTGCCAGGGAAGCACTTATTCCACTGAGCCATCTCCTCGGCCCCACCATGTGACTTTAGATGTGGGGGAGCCCTCAGAGTCTCAGTAGGCTGTTCTGGTTTTGTTTTGGATTATGGAGGTAGGGCCTTGCTATGTAGTTCAGGCTGTTTTTGAACCATTAGCCTAAACAGGCCTCAAATTCACTGTAACACTCCTGCCTCAGCCTCCTAAGTGCTGGGATTGTAGCTGTATCCTACCACACCCAGCCTGCTCTTATAAAATGGGGGAAATTAAGGAAATATCCTCTCAAGGGGGTTCCTCATAAAGCATCTTGGGAAAAGGGACAGCTACCAGTGTGGGATTCCTAGCTGGGAGACCCCCATGCACTCATCTACCCTTCACTAAAGTCCAGACAGCAACACAGCCTCAGCCTAAGGGTCCGGTAGGGAAGATTTGACTGGACAGAGATTTTTTTTTTTGGCAGAACCTGGGATTGAATTCAGGCCCTTGCACTTGCCAGGGAAGCATTTACTCTACTGAGCCATCTCCCTGGCCCTGAGTGTTTTTTTTAAAGTGTATTTTAGTACAGGGACTACAGGGTCTCACTATACAGATGTAGTGATTCTCCTGCCTCCCAAGCACTGGGATTACAGGGACACACCACCATGCCCAGACTCAGTGCACCTAGAAGTAGAGCCGGCAGGCACACCAGGGATCAAAACCCTGGGCCCTGTGTCTGCCTAAGCAGGTGCTTTAATTCACTGAACTAGCTGCCCAGCCCTTTGGACAGTGATTTCTGAGGCCCTGCTTTTTAGCTCTGGGTCTTGGTTGGGTACTCTGTGGCCAGACCAGCAGTCCCAGAGTTGTGCCCACTCTCAAGAATAAGGACATACCTTCCCTTCCCCAGTCAGGAAAATATTTCTATAACCTCTGAGTATCCACCAGGCAGGAGACAGTGGGAAGAAGTGAGCTCATATTTCCCTTAGTTGTGCTTTAACTTCTAAAATATTCTCTTTTTTTCTATGAACATTTTAATGAAGGGTTGAACATAAAATAGAAAAAATAACATTCTGGTTTTTTTAAGAGGCAGACTTTTCTTGGAGATTTTCATACAAGGCAATACATAAAGAATGTTAACCTGTTAAAGAAAACATATTCACCCCAGAAAAAGGCACTTCTCCAAATAAGTATCATAGTTACCTAGGACTCTGAAATTCTCAAGACATTGGTCTGATTTGTTTTCTTTTGGAAACAATTCAACTCAGATTTAAACTCTGCTGTTCTCAGGGGATAGGAACACACCTGGCATGCCATCAGCTGAACACAGTGGTGCCTGGAGCAAATGTTGCTTAAGGTGGTAGCCAGGAGGGATGCTGTATGAGGGTGTACGTGCTTGCTTCTCCTTCTGAGGGTGTGGGCAGCCAGAGGCCACCACTCCTGCACCAAGCCTTGCTCACTCTCTGTGGACAGATAAGTCATCCAGCAAGTGGGCTGGGATCAGGCCTCTGTGGCCACCCGACTCACCATAATAGAATCCCTTATCATCCACAGGCCCGTAGACTGTAACCATATCCCCAGCCCTCAGAGCCAGTTTGCCCTTTGCCCGGGCCCCTGCTTTCCTATCCCTGGGATCATAATCCAGAGCCACAATCATGGTCTTTGGGGTCCACAATGTGGGTCTCCTGGAGTTCTCTGGGGGCCTGAAGAAGGAACCCTGGGGGCTGATAGGCCCCTCAAAGTCCTCAAGGTGAGCCACAGAAGGCAGGTACCCTTGTGATGGCAAATGCCACCTTCTGTGAGATTGCTCTGTTTCCCCCTCCACTTCAGCCACCAGGTGCCCAGGGATGTTGCCCACTTGACCATTGCACTCGCCATGGTAGAAGCCATGGGGGTCCTGAGAGCCCCATACTCTCAGCAATTGTCCTTTCTTGAAGGTTAGCTCTTCCTTTGCAGCTTTGGGGTTAGAAGACATTGCTAAGGGGTCATAATCAAGGAGGGCCACAAATATCCTGGCTGGAGTGTTGGCCTCTGGCCCCACCTGTGGAGGTTCACCCCGGGACATCTTAATGACTTTGCTGGATTGAGTTGGACATAGCACTGAGGAGGGCTCACAGAGCTGCAACTCTTTCTTGCTCCCCAGAGCCTGATGTTGCCTGTTCTGGGACCTGAATTTGTCTCTGTGCTCTCGCTTCTCTGTGTGCCAAGGATCCAAGCACCTCTTCTCCTCCAATATATTACAGGAGTCAGCTGCATACTGCTGGCTGGTTCCCCACTGGGAAGATGTCAACACCTGGGCATCTTGCTTTTGCCTACAGTCCTTCTCAAGGGCAGCTGTCTCCTGACACAGCTGTTTCCTGGGCCTATACTTCGGAGACAGGTGGATGAATCCTGGAGATGAACCTCTGCTGGTGCTGTTGTGCCCATAGTGGTTTTCTTCCATCACAGACTGACCTCTAGAAAGAAGTGGTCTGTTGTTTTGAGGACTCTTCTGAAAGCATAGGTCCTTGCTGCAGCCTTTTTGGGCCCCAGTGGACCCTTGGGCTTGCTTACCAGCCTCTTCTGAGCTCAGGTTGGACAATGGGGGCTGCCTCCTGAGGGGTTCTTCAGGCAGTGCTTCTGGAAACTTGCCCTGAGGTTCCCCACAGCTCCCAGGGGTGTGAGGGTCTGGCTTGTTACTCAAAGAAGACAGTGCCATCTTCTGATGGTAGACTCCAAAGGTGGATGGGTCACCACAGATGTTGCCAAAGGGAGGACTGTCCAGTAAGGAATGATAAGTGAAGCAATCTTCAGGGATCTGAGCTGGCACTGAATCCAAAGACTCACCACACAGTGACATGGTTCTCACTGAGACCTTTTCGCATGTTAGGAGTACCCGCAGCTGGGAAAATTCCAACAGAATGCTCCCAGCAGTGGCATCAGAGACCTCTGCAATCTTGATTCCATCCACATATACAGCATAGCCAGTAACTTGTACTCCATTGGAGGATCCAGCTGAGTCAATGGTCACAGGGATCCAGCTGACCACTAGGAAGCCTGGTAAGGTGTGGTGCTCTACCAGCACATCCAGAGGAGGGTCTGGGGGTCCTGCTAAGGGTGTGTTGAAGTTGATAGTGGAGGACATTGTTTCCCAGGGCACCTGCCCCAAGTCCCAAGGTATATCAACCTCCACTCGAGCCTGGTATTGTGTGCCGGGATGTAGGCCTTCAAAAGTATAGCAGGTCACACCTGAGGGTGTCAAGGCATGTTCCTGGCCATTGAGGTATACCACATGGAGGTGTCTGCTACTGCCATAAACCCAGCTGATTTCAGCTGATGTGGCAGTGACATTCTGCAGGTGTAGTTGCATTGGTCCCACACAGGACAATTCTTTGGTCTTCAGTGGGACAATGGAGAAGTTCTGCTCTTGCAGACTCTGTGATGAGTCCAGCCAGCAGGCCTCTCTCTTGATCTCTAAAATCTCTGTTACCTTTTCGGTCTTGGAACCCTCTCTTCCCATCTGGCATGGTCCTCTATCCACTGATACCTGGTCCTCTCCAGTGAATAAGCTGGCTTCTTCTGAGGCTTTGTTCTGCCCAACAGGTAGTAGAGTGGGGCCTAAGTGATTTGGGGACTCAGGTGACTTGGGAGACAGGTCTCTTTGGTTGTGGTTGTCTGGAATCTGTTCTAGCAAGTTGGAAGGTACCAGCCCTTGCCGGCCATCCTCAAGCTCCCCTTCATAGAAACCATCCTCATCCAAGTCCCCAAAGACATACACATAATCCCCAGCTGTGAGAGGTAATTCATGTTCAGGATGCTCATTGGGTCCCTCAAATGGGTTGTAGCTATATTTAGCCTGGAAAATCTTGAACTTGGAGATGGAGGGTGCCTTGGGGTCCTTCACTTCTAGTGCGAGAGACATACTGTCTGGCTCTAGATCATCCACCTCACTGGCTGTGTCCATTTCCAAAGTAAGGCAAGATGGCACAGTGGCCCACATGGACTCAACCTCAGAGGAGGAGGTAGAAGACTGGGAACTGGTTTTCTTAGCTTGATGCGTGGAGTCCAGAGGCTGGTTGGCAGGGACTCTGTCTGACACAGGGTGGGAATTGACTGGTTCCCCAAGGGCAACTGTACTGTCCTGTAGGGCAGGACAAACATGAGACTGTTCTTTGCTAGGCTGTGATGGTACATAGTCTTCAGTCTGTGGCTCGAGCTTGTGCCTTCCTCTACTTGTCTCTTGGGTGGCCTCCTGTGGCTGCTTGGGAGGATAGCCAGGCTGATCTTGTAACGCTTGCATCTCCTTCCGGGCAGCTTGGAGGTCGCTCAGGGCCTTTTGCAGGTCGTGCTGCAGCTGCTGCTGCCTATTCTGCTCGAGTGCCGCCTGTTGCAGCAGCTGCTCTGCCAGAAGGCCTGCGGCGTCGCGCTCCTGGCACGCGCGACCCAGCTGCCCGCGCACATCGCTGTTCTCGGCCGCCACCTTTCGTACCCAGTGGGCTTGGGCCTGTAGCTGCACGTTCTCCTCCGCCAGCCAGGCGCCCTTCTGAAGTGCTGCCTGCAGCTGTGCCTCTGCCTCCTCGCTGCGCCGTTGGGCCGCTGCAGCCTGAGCGCTCCGTGCCTCACATTCACGCCGCAGTGCGTCCAGCTCAAGCTCCAGAGCCTGTACCTGGTGTCGAGACTCCTCACAGGGTACGCTCTGACTGCTAGCTTTCACCTGGGCGCAGCCCAATTGACGCTGCAGCGTCAACTGCTTCTGCAAGCGCAGAACTTCCCGCTGGGACTCGCGCTGCAGCTGGTCCAAGTCTCTGATGTTGAGCCATTCTGAACGAGGGACGCCCCCTGCAGGATTCAAAGGACTGTCGCGGCCAGTGGCGACCTGCGCCTGCAGCAGGTGACACTCCCGTCTCAGTTCTTCGATCTGCTTGTCCTTGGCTAACAGAGCACTGGCCTGATCTGACAGGTCTCTGGCGCGCTGACCGGCAAGGGCCTGGCACAGTTCCAGGCCGGCGCGGTTCTCTCCCGGCACGGGCGCGCTCATTGCTCGAAGGCTGGTCTCCTGCAGCTTGCGGGCACGGTCCTCCAGGCGCCGAGCGAGGCCTGCCAACTCCGCGTGTTTCATCTTCAGCCGCTTCACCTTTCCATCCTCCTCACTGGGGCTGCCACCGCACCGCAGCTGCAGGTTCTCCTCGTGCAATTCAGAGCAGCGGCGTGTCAGCCCCTGCAACGCTTCGCTCAGTTCCGAGTTCCGCTTCACCAGTGCACGGTAGTCGGGGTCTGGTGGGGAGGATATTAGACTGTCACGGGGCTGGCTTCCAGAGCATTCTCTGCGCAGATCTTTACGTTTTCTGTGTACCTTAGTTAGCAAGGAATTTGGGGAGTCTGGGACAGAGATGTTCGCAGAGGAGGCTGGTGCCTCTGACTCATTGAAGGCCTTGGGGCGTCTCAGAGTGCTGTCAAGCGAGCAGGAATACGCCGTGTCCAAGGACTCAAGGGAGCTAGCACGCGCAGGGAGCTGGCGGTCTGGGGAGCCGGAGCGCCCCTCCAGCAATCTCTCCAAAGAACGGGAACGATCTCGGACCAACACGCCCAGGCTGGCAGGGGGTCCAAGTCGAAGATGGGTTTTCCGGGTTTGGGGGGCGTTGCTGGCGGTTTCGGGCAGTGGCGCCTCCGATGAATTCTCGGCCTGCGGGTCCGGGGGCCCGGGTAAAGCGGGCTGCCAGCGGAAGTGCTCCAGGATGTACTTGAGGAAGAGCTGGCGCTCAACGTCCAGCGCCGCCTGCAGGTGACGGATGCGCGCGGCTTGCTCGCCGTCTGTCTCCCAGCGAAGCTGCCGCAGCACTTCCTGCAGACGACAGCGGCACTGCTCTGCGGGAACCTCGGGCGTCCCGGTGCGGCCGCAGTAGCCGCGGTTCACCAGTTCCTGGGCCAGCTGGCGCTGCAGCTCACGGGCCTGGCGCACCACGCCGTCGCGCTCGCGGCCCAGCAGCTGCTGTAGCTGCCGCAGCTCGGCCTCCTTCCAGCGCAGCAGCTGACGGATCTCGGCCTCACGCTCCCGCTGTACCTCCGCCTGCAGCTGCCGCAGCTCCCGGAAGCGCTGTGCCTCCCATTTGGAGCGCAGGTGGTCCGCCAGCTGCTGCCTCTCTCTTTCGGCCACCTCCCGCAGCCTGCGTGCCTGGGCCGTGAAGCGCTGCCGCTCTGCCCGCCCGCGCGCTCGCTCCTCCTCCAGCTCGGCCCGAAGCTTCTCCATCTCCCGCCTCTGCTCCTCCTGCACTGCCGCTGCCTGGCCGGGGCTGCCTGGCTTTTTGGGTGACGTGCGGCCGCCACTCAAAGGGGTGGATGAGTCTTGGATCATTGTGGCCACAGCCCGGCCAGACACCTGACCTCGCCTGGCGGGCCACAACTCACCAACGGCCGCCTTCCCGGCTAAGGCCAAGGCCAACGGCCCACGTGCCCCTTCCGGCACCCCTGGCAGTCTCCTCGCGCCCCTTCCGCCTCGGGGTATGTTCCCCCCAAGCCCCCTGTCGCGGTTGCTTAGGCCGAGGCTGAGCTCCCCACATGCCTGTTCAAAGTGGCCTCTGACCTTCACAGGATTCTGAGTGCCTTTCTGTCCCCATACTTTTCTTGCTATGTGACCTTTTTTACCTAGCCAGGAACTCCCCTAGACAGTGTCCCAATCCCTTCCAGGCCAAGGTGTCTCATGAGAAGCAAGGACCCTGCTCCTAGGCCAGGAAGGTGTGTGGGTCACTGTCACAAATGGGGTGCATCCCTGGTTGACCTGTCCTGGCTGTACCAGGGTAGTATGTTTGATTTAGGTAGCTGAGAACTACAGCAGGGAATGCTTAGACTTAGAGTTGGGCCTTGAGCCCCTAAGTGGAAGCAGGTGCCTCTAGCATCTCCACTGCCCTACTCTTCCAAGACTTCTGAAGTGCTAAGTACATACTTAGGTTATCTATTGAAACCTCTTAGCCAGGCATGGTGGCACATGTCTGTGATCCCAGCACTTGGGAAGCTGAGGCACAATTGCCACAAGTTTGAGGCCAACCTACTGTACATAGAGTTCAAAGCCAGGCTGCATACATAGCAAACCCTTTCTCAGAGAGAGAGAGAGAGAGAGAGAGAGAGAGAGAGAGAGAGAGAGAGAGAAATATGTTTTGTGTCCCCTTTACAGATCAGCTCAAGAGCTCAAGTCATATGCTTGGGTTTGGTGCCTGCTGAGAGCAAAAGGGCATGCCGGGCAAGAACTCCACTACTGAGCTATCTCCCCTGACCTGCATTTTCTTGGCTCATTTTTACTATCATCTGGCAGGGATACTCCAAAAGATAAAGAACCCTCCATGGTCGCACAACCTGGAGGTAGCTTAGGACAGATTCAAACTTGTGAAATTCTGCCACCAAACCCCACAGCTGTCCCATTTCCAACTTACTCAAGCTCAGGATCGCCTATGAGCACCCATCTCCAGTCTTTCTCACATGTCAGAGCTTCAGGCAGAGAGTGATCAGATGGAGATTCAGGCCCATCAGTCAGAGGGACCCAGAATGCGGAAAAATTGACCTACCACCCTCAGCCTCATCATGGGAGCACAGCCCACTCTTTGGTCTGGCCCATTAGTGCTCAGGTCTGCCGCTCCCATGAAAGATAAAGCCAGGGGCCTCTGTAGGCCCCTCTGTACTACCACCTTGGAGACAGTGAGCCCAGAGAACTTTCCACAGCTTTCCAAAGGATAATGTAGTTGGTGATTCAAGCTGTTGGGTTATTGATTTTTTTTTTTCCCAGAACCGGGGATTGAACTCAGGCCCTTGTGCTTGCCAGGCAAGTGCTTATTCTACTGAGCTATCTCTTCAGCCCCTGGGCTATTGAATTTCAATAGACTTTCAGCTTCTTGCAGTACTGCCATGTTCTTCATGCTCTCATCTGTAAAATGGGTTCATAATGCAGCTGTCTTCTGTGCTGTGTGAACGAACCCCCAGAGTTCTTTGAACACCCATATCTTCTGTGTGTGATTATTCACCGAAGTGAGAGAACATAGTGCTCAGCACAAAACAGGAATGCACTCTGGTGGTCAGTTCACTCATTTAGTCAGAGTCCCTTGTTTGTTTTTGTTTTTTGGGACAGAATCTCATTATGTAGTTCAGGGTGGCTTTGAACTTGCTGAGATCCTTCTGCCTCCATTTTGAATGCTGGGATTATAGGTGTGCACCACCACACCCAGGTAAATTCCCTTTGTATTCTGAGAGAAACTGAGGTCTTTGAGGTAGGAGTTTTTGCTGAGGCTTTGTCAGAGCTGCTATATGGAGGTAGGATGGGTATTATTTATACTCCCAGAGACTCACCCTGGATGCCTCATGGCAGGTGGGAAGTACCAGAGACTGGAGTTTCCATCCAGGTCCTGCTGGTTTAGCGCTAAGGGACCACAACCAGTTGCTTCTATACCGTGCATATAACCTAGGGGTAGAGGGACACAGTCCCAGTGACTGGAAGCTCTGAGGTCTGTGCAAGAGCTCATATGCCCCCCTAGGGCTTGCCTTCACAAGCCTCTTCCAGATTCCCTGGGTCTTTGCATGTGTGGTCCCCCATGCCTGTGTGGCCAACCTCACCCTAAACCTTACAGGGACCCAGCATTTACTATGTGCCGCATTCTGTGCTTATTGCTGATGTTGGTATTGTTATTAATTGGTATTGGAGATTGGGTATTATTTGGTAATTACATTCCTAGTCATTTTAAATTTTTTGTTTTGAAAAAGTTTCATTCTAGGCTGGGCTTGAACATACTATTCTCCAGCTTCAGAGTCTAGTGCTGGGATTACAGGAATGTACCACTATGCCTGGCTGTACATTATCTTTTTAAACCAGTTGGCTTGTTTGCTTGTTTTGAGACTAGGTCTCAGGCTGGCCTTGAATTCACTATGTAGCCCTGGCTGGCCTTGAACTCACAGTGATCTTCCTGCCTCAGTGTCAAGGGCTTGGATTACATGTGTGTACAGTATAGCAATAGCAACAACAAAAATATGTTTGGTAGAACCTACTACTTGACCAAATGTACTTGAAAAAACATTTGATTCACTGGGGTTTTACTTTATTTTATTTATTTTTTGCAGTACCGGGGATGGAACTCAGGACCTAGGACCTTGCACTTGCCAGGCAAGTGCTTATTCTACTGAGCTATCTCCCTGGCCCATCATTGAGGTGTTAGACTTCTCTCTCTTTTTTTTTTTTTCTTCCTTCCTTCCTTCCTTCCTTCCTTCCTTCCTTTCTTTCTTTATTTTGTACCAGGAATCAAACTCAGGACCTTGTGTTTGTCAGGCAGGCACTGTGCTGTTGAGCTATATCCCTGGCAAAACAAAAACAAAGCAACTTAAAAAAATAATAAAAGGGCTGAGAATATAGTACAGTGCAAAGGCCTTGAGTCAAATCCCTGGTACTACAAGATAACTAAGTAAGTAGCTAGCCAACTAGATAACTAACTAAATAAAATGGAAGGGATGGGTCACTTGAGTAGTTTTCCCTTTTTTTCTCATTATTTATTAATTGACTGTGGTACTAGAGATTGAACTCAGAGCCTTTGTATTGAGCATCTCCAGCCCTTTTTTATTTTTATTTATTTTTAAATTTTTTTCCTTTTTTATTTTTTATGTTTTTTTTCTTTTTTATTTTTTTGAGAGAGGGTTGTTGTTTTTTTTTTTTTTTTTTTGGTGGGACCCGGGATTGAACTCAGGCTCATGCACTTGCCAGGGAAGCGCTTATTCTACTGAGCCATCTCCCCGGCCCTGAGAGAGGGTCTTGCACAGTTGCTCAGGCTGCAACTTGAGCTAGTGATCTTCCTGCATCAGCCTCCCAGAATGATGGCATTATAGGTGTGCATCATCATGCCCAGATTTTTAAAATTTATATTATCATTTATGGTTCTGGAGATTGAACACAGAGCCTGGCTCAAGGTAGGCAAGCACTCTACCAGTGAGCTGCACTCCCAAACCCTCATGGGTGGTTTTAAAACTGGATTCCTCAAGGCTCCAGGGTTCCTTGGAAATTCTATAGGTCTGTGGGGAGGGGATATGTTGGGAATTGAAGAGATGACACTGGCCCTACTTGCCTCAGGGAGCAGATCCAATTGTTAGTGTCATGTATAAGGTTCCAAGGCCAGCTTGGGTTTAATAAATGGTTATGGTATTGGGAGAAAGAAAGAACTTTTTTTTTTTTTTTT